CACCACATATATACTACTACTACTACTATATATATATATATATATATATATATATATATATATATATATATATATATATATATATATATATATATATATACTCCTTTGACACTGTCATGAACAGCTACATGCATTAAAACAAGCACAATATATTTGTTGTGTTTTTACAATTCCTCAGGAATATTTACCTCATTTCGCACCGTCACATCGTTTGCGTTCATCATGACAACCCTAAGCTACATATATCGATGCTTGCACATCAGAACAAAATGTGTAACAGTATGCATACTGGCTTACGCTATAATCGCATGTATAAGGCCTGCGCCCCTGACAAACAAATACTCTAGCACGTCTGCCCATTCTCCATGATTATGTACATAATGGTTCTCAATGTGTTTCCGAAGTTGTTCGCATGTATGTATTTTGTAACTCGCATATGTATAAGCATACATACTATATCACGCATAATTCCACTTATCGATGTTGAAACACATATACACAACACGCACATACTTCAACGTGCAGGCTCTCAACAATAACTAGTACATGCATAGCGTGCGTAAGAAAACACTGAACCATAAACGCTCTCTATTGATAACTACACATCTAAAATAAGTACACAGCCCCCCACTTGTCTTATCTTCAATGACTACCCCTGCATACGTCTGCGTGCATCTACAATTCTACAAACTGGTCATCAATATTTGTTCACTCATCCATCATGCATGGATACACACACACACAGGTTCTTGTAGGCCATCCAACAACAGAGCAACACTCTAACGGTTGGTGTGTGCACACCTTGATCAAGTAAAGGTTTGATCCGGTACATACCAGTTCTTACCATGTTGCTGACGTCGGTGTGTGGTTATGATATCACTCCCATATACACTGTTCTATATAACAAGTTCAATATATCCCAGCTAGACGCCGTGTACAAACTTGTACATACAAGTAGTACTCACTAGCCATTCATGGATACGTCTGCATACATAAAAAAGAAATATCAAAATCATCCAACCTTATACGCTAAGTATCATGCATACCTGTTCTCAATTTTTTTCACGTCTATGTTATAACCCGTACGCGGCATTATCTTCATCATCTGACGATCTATCGCCAATACTGAAGTCACTGCACAAATACAACCCGGAAAATTTTAAATGAAGATATGTTACAAATTCATATTGATAATATGTAAATATCATATATGAATATATATAT